CCCGTTTAATGAGCTCCTTTGTGTAGTATTTCAAACGGCACGTTGCAAATTGAATAGCGTCATTATAAGCTATCCAAAAAATCCACTATTTTTAACTAGTCTGAAAATGTCACCTGGCCTTCCACTGAAACATACTTTTGTGTTTTTAAACCTTTTTTTTAAACTTTGGATTAAACTGAAGTAAAAACAACCTCTCTCAGTAGTGTCGGGATGAGCAGCAGTGACTTTGAACTACAGACAACCATCCAAAAAATAAAAAAAACGTGCATCTCATTGATTTTATGACTACCAGCTGCAATTTATTGATAGAAGCATGAGCTGAAGATATACCAGGCTTTACAAAAACACACCTGCAATAAAAATCTAAACAAAAACAAGCTTTACCAGCTTGTTTTTTTCATTTATTGAAAAAGCCTCTTCGAAACATCTTCTTTTTGTTCCCTCTTTAAATAGGCAATTCAGCCGAGGAATGTAAGTCTAACGCGGTGACGCATCGCAAAGAGAAAGCTGCAAAGTGTTCAGCATCAACAGCTGTCCGTCCGTCCCTCTATTCATCCGCACAATGCTGTCAGCCATGGTTTGACTGAGCCCTCTGTTTGCCGAGCCTTCGCTTCGCCTTTGGTGAAGATGTCCTGCGCCTCGACGATACCAAGCAGCAGGCGTTTACCATTATCAGGGCGCACAGTGCGTCCGTCATGTCGGCTGTCTTATTTAAGACCCCTCTTGTGCTCGGCCTCCATGCAAGTGATGCCGTATTGATTTTTATGCTAGCTATCTGCCGGTGCAGAGGCGTTATGGATAACCACACATCACAGCTTAGTGTGTGTGTCATTAGTTGCCACACTATTGTAAGATGCAGTAGTTATCACATCAAATGAGGTATATTAGTTCAGTTAATGTCTTGACTTGAGCATGGATGTATAACAGCGTGTGCTTCAGGAGCAGTGTTAAAGGTAATTTCATCTCTGCAGAACATTATACTGTATTATATTACCTTCTCATACTCTACAGCTACTGTTAAGAATAAAAAAAGGCAATAAGCTTGTGTTTCCTGGCCAATAACAAATTGTTTTATTGTACTATAACCTCCACAGTGATGCTGACACCATGCACATATAAAACACAGCTTACACGCTGTATTCTGCAATATCCGAGATTCAGATTAAAAAAACAAAACGTATCGCTTTTTGTTCCTCGCTGGGCATTTAACATTTTTCAGCTGCTTCTAGTGGGCAAAAGAAAAGCATTTAATAATTCACTTGCTCTTTTTTTTTTTTTTTTTTGCCTTGTGGGTCGAGCTGTTGCACCGTGCAGCGGCTTCCTGTCCAGAATCGGTTTAAGAACACACCGACGGAGTGAAAAGCCCCGTCTCAGATTGACAGAGATACATTTTGAAAGGAAGCAATTTCCATGCCTGGCATGAAAACTCCCTTTTAACCTTAATTACACCGCCGCTCGGTGAGGACCAAATGCTCCCGGCTGAAATTCATTTCCCAACAGGGACTCTTATCAAAGGACTCGGATACACCTTCTTATCAACTGTGGTCAATGGGTCTGCACGAAAATGTACTCGTAATTAATTGTCAGTATCATCTGCCAAACTTTTATTTGGACATCTCCCTAATGTTAACATAAGCCCTAATGGCCATCTGCAGAGTGCAACCCATTACGGCACATATCTCCATCCCTACAAATGTAGGGGATGCCTCAGATGTTTTATGGCGTTTTCCACTGCTGTTCACAAGCGTGGCCACGGTGCCAAGGTTGGCGTGCGCGCCTTTTTCTGCTCGAGGGCAGGGACAAAATAAAACGGCATTTTACATTTAAACAGGAGCTTGAGAGGCTGCTGTCATTTATCTGTATGGTTATTGCTGAAGTCTTTCAGCAGAGGTGAGAGCTAATACAGACATTAAGTAGTCGCCAGATTACTGACGGGTCATTTGCAGTTATGCATTTCGTCGGGCCACTGAAAATATAGACTCTTCAGCTTCTATCTGGCCTTAAGGATATAGTCCGTAATCGCACCTCTTGATCTGCAGGTTGTGCATTTGCTGCACATGTAAGACTATAAAAAGGATCCTCGTCTTTTAACGAGTGGGACACACGTGTAGTGCAGATGTCAAGGCAATCCTTTAGGGGCTCAGCAGAGGTTACCCCATACTTGTAAATGTGCATTCCTGCACCATATGTGTTTTAGCTCTGCCCCCAAAAGCGCCTTCCAAAGTTCTCGCATATCACTCAGGCAAAAACAAATCAACTTTTAACACCCTCTGCTTACTAAAATAATCCAAATTTGCATCAGTCTGGCTGCTGACAGTTTATTTTCCCCCTCCAAGTTGAAAACTTAAAAAAATGAAAGTGCTGCGTGTAAAATAGATTTTCGTGAAATTCGTGTTGATTT